CCAGACTACCAGGTAAACTGTCTGGGCCGAAGCCCAAGCCCAGACTTTCCAACAAAGTGTTGATAACAGCGAGGGAGGAAGATCGAACCCGGGTTCGGGGATTTCACCCTCAACTCCGGACTCGCCCTACCACTCGCCCACCACCTTGCGGGCTTCAATGGAAAATCTTGTTCAATGTATGTTAATAACAATAGTAATTATATTTAATGATCTTTGTGTAGTGGTATTTCATGAGTATTTCAATGGGCAATCTTATTCAATGTATTTTCATAACAATGGTAATTATAATTAATGATGTCTGTGTAGCGGTATTTGAGTATTTCAATATAATGGACAATCTTGTTCAATGTATTCTAATAACAGTGGTTAAATGATGATAACTCTTATGATAGTATTCAAATGAATTTATTAAGGATCTAACTACCAGCGGCGTGGATATTACTAAGAATTAGGCATCGATCTAATTAGTCTGGCTTATTTACACTTGCACCATTGGGTTAAGTTGTGCATTTCTTAATGAAAAAAAAAACTTTGGCTTCTCTAGACTTGTTCAGAATTGACTATCAAATTTGATCTTTAAAATAAAATAGAAAGGTTGTTTTTAATTTAAACATAAATATTCTATTTGTAGGACTGTTTTACATGGTTTAGTTTTCATAGTATTGTCCTTAAATACACTAGGTTATGAACCCCCGCGATATCGCGGGGGAACTCATTTTCAACAAATATATTTGAGTGTATTTATATATTAAATTATTATGATAATATATTAAAAAAAATTTGAATTATTACATAAAATTGACTATGTTTTAAATTTATATCGTAAATATTTTTCAAAGATGTTAAAACTATTTATGAATAAAAATGTAAAAAAGAAGAATTATGATTAAAAACACTTTAAAAATATTTTTTATGAATCTAAAATTATTTATAAATGACAAAATACATAAAGAAGAGTTATAATATAGAGATGAGGGTCCAAACCAAAAGTTCAGATGGAGTCGCTACTCAGCACGACTTGTGGGTAACTAAGAAACTTACCCGTGAATTGATGCTTTTAATATTAAAATGATGTATGTTTGGATAGTTTAGAGCATACAAAATTTGGAGCAATTTTACATATTATTATTTTTGGATGTATCATATAACTAATAATCTATGTTAAAGAACAAAAATTTGAGAACTACTTAGGAAGAAGGACAAATATATAAAATTCAAAAGTCACGAACATTTAAATAGACAACTTTTCATACAAAAAGTTGTGACGAAAAATGCAATAAAATATAGTAAAGAGACGTAACTTTAAATGAATAGATGCAACTATAAAGACACAACCGTAAAGTAAAAAAAAATATGACTATAATTGAACAAATAGAACTGTCCCAAAAAAATAACTGTCAATATTTTAACGAAAATATGTGATAAAAAGACACAACTTAGAAAAAATAACCGTCAATATTTTAACGGAAAAGTTGCGATAAAAAGAGACAACCGAGAAAAAATAACCGTCGGTATTTTAAAGGAATGTTGCGATAAAAAGATACAACCGAAAAAAAGTAACCGTCAATATTTTAACGGAAAGTTACGATAAAAAGACACAACCGAAAAATAACCGTCAACGAAAAAGTAACCGTAAATATTTTAACGAAGAGTTGCGATAAAAAAAAAAGACATTACCGAAAAAAATAACCGTAAATATTTTAATGGAAAGTTGCGATAAAAAATACACAACCGTAAAAATAACCGTCAACGAAAAAATTAGCCGTCAATATTTTAACGAAGAGTTGCGATAAAAATATACAACCGAGAAAAAATAACCATCAATATTTTAACGAAAAGTTGCAATAAAAAGACACAACCGAGAAAAAATAACCGTCGGTACTTTAACGGAATATTGCGATAAAAAGACACAACCGAAAAAAATAACCGTCAATATTTTAACGGAAAGGTACGATAAAAAGACACAACCGAAAAATAACCGTCAACGAAAAAGTAACCGTAAATATTTTAACGAAGAGTTGCGATAAAAAAAAGTCATTACCGAAAAAAATAACCGTAAAAATTTTAACGGAAAGTTGCGATAAAAAATACACAACCGAAAAAATAACCGTCAACGAAAAAATTAGCCGTCAATATTTTAACGAAGAGTTGCGATAAAAATATACAACCGAGAAAAAATAATCGTCAATATTTTAACGAAAAGTTGCAATAAAAAGACACAACCGAGAAAAAATAACCGTCGGTATTTTAACGGAAAGTTGCGATAAAAAGATACAAACAAAAAAAGTAACTGCTAATATTTTAACGGAAAGTTGCAATAAAAAAACACAACCGAAAAACAACCGTCAACAAAAAAGTAACAGTTAATATTTTAACGAAGAGTTGCGTTAAAAAACACAACCGAAAAAATAACCGTCAATATTTTAACGGAAAGTTGCGATAAAAAGACGCAACTGTTCAGATGTGCAAATGGTATTTATTAGATTGCTATTATATATAGATTCCACGTAATGTCAACGTTTTGGCGGATACTTGGGCTAAATTAGCCTTAAATTCTGATAGTAAATGTCTTTGTCTATTAAGGTTTTGTTTTTTTTTTTGCAATAGAATTCAGTTGTTGACCACAAGAAAACTTTGATAACATATTTTTAACGACTAAATATATTCGCTATTTTTGAAAGATTATGGAGATAGACGAAAAGATTATGTTATGGATGGAAACAAGTAAACTTTGATAAATTTGAAACAAATTTGAGTATACTTATCTATTCTTTTTGGTTCTTTAAATAGAAAATTTAAATTCAAATCCTTTAGTAAGGTCTCTCTCGATCGGTTGTTTCTTGTAATTTTTTTCATATGCTTTTATAATAAACAGGGGTTTTGTCAGCGGTGTCTCTTTTCTTTTTCTATTTATTGATTGTTTATTATAATTATCACGTTGGATTTCTCTTTCCTTCAGGATTAGGTTTTGCTCATATATGGATAATTAGTGGTACGGTTGTTTAATTTCCTACTTTGTTAAAAAAAAAAAAATATGTATTCGGTCATTGTTTTCTCGTTGACAATAACTTTCTGATATCAGAAGCTATCCAACAATTTGAAGCAGTTGCTTTTGGTTTTTCTTCCACGACTTGATATGGTATCGAAAGGATTTGTCAAAGAAACTTTGGCAAAATGTTTTTGCTTACCAAAATGCAAAATCCTTTTACGAGAAACATCACCAAACATGGTTATAGCATAGATTTTTCGAATTAATTCGTTATGTAAATGTTACAGGCTTACAGCATGACCTTCTTGGTGTGTGCTCTGGGTTTAGATGATACATTTTTTGTTTGGGATGTTGCATCTTTGGTTAGTGAATTATTTAGATAAAAGCAAAAACAAAACAAAACAAAACAAGACAAACGTAGACGTAAAAGCAATAGAAACAAAGAAATAATATGGTCTACACTATATACATATTTTAATTAGGATAAAATAATAGAACAGTATATGCGTATGTATGTTTATATTGTAAAAATAGTATATGTATAGCCATCTAGTGAAACTAAAATAGAATGGCAGTTCAAAGTTGATTCATGGTGGCTAGCTAGCTACAAGTAGGATGGTCAACTATTCATGTGTCAACTTCATAACTCTATATTATTACCAATTGTGCCTATTGCCAATATATAAGAATATGAACTATTTCATTAGCTTATAATATACAAGTTTGACAAAAAAAAAATCAAATGATCTCTCATATATGTATAGATATAATCAAAAGATGTAATATAGTGATTTGTATTAGTATCATTATCCTGTCAATAGTTGAAAATTTGTATTTGATAAAATGTAGTATGTTGTTATTAACAATCAAAGTAATTTTTAGCTGAAAAAAAATGTTTAGGAAAAAAGACTAGGTTCTCTTTTATATAAGCAAAACTAGGTAATTAATTGAACTTGAGCGATATCAAATTCATAAATCAAAATCTCAGTATCTTTTTAATAAGATACTTTATCATAATTTAAATGAAAATTGATTTTCTGTTATATGTAGGAATTTGGATGGCTACTTCATTTTCTGCCACGCCCACGCTCTAATCCCAAAATATTAAAGTCTATCATCAGATAGTTTTATAAAAAGACCTTGACTTCGGAAAATGACATTGAAATTCTCACAGATACTGGCTATATCTAAAAAGTCTATTTTTTCCTTTATTATATTAACTTTATTGATTAAAAAAGGAGAGGAAATTGCTAAGTTATTTCGCACCGTACGGTTCATGTTGTTCCAAATGATGTATGTTATATAATTGGTAACACTGTTATATATACACACATGTATTCAATAATTGATTCTCAAACCATAAGCTATGTACAATACATATATGCTCATTTCTTCATAAATTAATTGGGAAAATATTATTGTATTTTGGTTTTATTAAATTAGAATAAAGGGAAAAAACCATTACACACACCATTGGAACAAATACATACAACTAAATTCATAACTTTAATAAAACCAAAATACAATAATATTTGAGTTTCCCAATTAATTTATGAAGAAATGAGCGTATCCTAAAACTATACATGCAATGTATCCTAAAATTATACTGTACATCCTAAAAACTATACATGCAATGTATAAACTGATTGAAACAAAATTTAATCATTTAAGAAAATTTATTTTTCTTGTAAAACTCGGCGTCTAAATTTGAAGACTAAATTCAACTTCCCAAAATCTAGTTATTGTTACTAAAAACTAGATAAACAATTTAATGTAGTACAAATGTAAAACCTTTGAGTTCCGTTTTCGATTCAATATAAATATAGTATCACATGTACATCAGATTTGTGTTATATGCAAAAAAAAGAACATTCTTATAATCACATATCTCTCTCTTCTTCATTCCCCAAGCATAGAATCTCTCTCTCTCTCTCTCTGCGCCTTTTCTTGATTCTCACTCAGAGAAAATTCTGCAATATATATCGCCATGGTCCAAACCGACATCGCAGAGATCTTATGCGTCAAACCCAAGACAAAGAAGAAGACAAAAACAATGGAGGAAGATGTCAAGAAGACGATGAAGATAGAAGGAGAAGTGGTTGTGATGAAGAAGAACCTTCTTGATTTCAAAGACGTTATGGCTTCTCTTCTTGATCGAGTCCATGAGCTTCTTGGTCGTCGTGTCTCTCTCCACCTCATCAGCTCTCACCAACCCGACCCGGGTACCCATTCTTTAACCCGACCCGTTATCAGATCCGTCTTAAAGTTTTTCTTTCTTTCGATTTCATCACTGAAGTTTACATGAAACAGAGGATTACTCTGTTTTTCTTAAATTTGATTAATCGTTTAAATAATCGATTTTCAACCTTATAACTTCAAGTAATTTCAATCAAATATAGAAAGAACTAAGATTAAATAGTCACTGTAGTAGATTCATTGTTGTTATAAACCATAATGTTGTGACGAATACATTTTATAATTTATACAATCCAAATTTTAAATAATATTTTGTGTGACATGAATCAGCCAATGAGAAGAGAGGAAGACTTGGAAAAGCAGCACATCTGGAAAAATGGGTAACAAAAATAAAAACGTCAGTAACCGCAGAGGAAACTGCGTTTAGAGTAACGTTTGATTGGGACGAGTCAATGGGACCACCGGCTGCGTTTGTGATCAAGAACCACCACCACAGCCAATTCTACCTTAAGTCCCTCACCCTCCGCGGCTTCCCGGCTGGTGAAGGCGGTCCGATACACTTCGTCTGCAATTCTTGGATTTACCCGAGTCATCGATACCGCTCTGACCGCGTTTTCTTCTCTAACAAGGTAAACGCTATAACGCGTTTTGGGACAAGTGGGCAATAATAATATAATAATACACTAATTGACCGAATTAAGTACTAATTTTATGGTTTTTATATTGGACTTGGAATTTTATATAGTATTTTCTAACTAATCTTAGATTGCTCAGAATTTTCCATGTGCAAACGTTATCATAAATATTCTTAAACCGTAGGTCATTCTTAAATCTTTGAGTATCTATGTATTTATTTATTTATTCTCTGGATAAGTCTCTACTATTAATTAATACATTTAAGAGGGTACTGGTTAGTGGTTAGATGTAGGTTACATAGGAATTATCTCCTAATCCATATGGCTTAAATCTTTAAATTATTTATTTTGATTGACTAGAGAGTTTTGGAATATTCGTGTACGTGTGTAAACATATAATTGTACCAAAGAATGAAACCGGTCCTTGCGGTCTATCTTTACAAGTTACACTCTACCTTTATTCCAATAATTTTTTCTAATCAAATAGAATCTTTTTATTACTTGATAACGACAACCATTTTTAAGTTATTGATATTATATTGTTATGTTTCATCTTTCTTTTCTCATATTTTATTCTTATCACAAACCTTGATTTTCTTACACAATAAAGTGCATGGGTCTGGCTCTACTATAGAGTCAAAAGTCAAAAGGAATAATATGGGTTGGACATTTAATTTAATTTTTCCTTTTAGTAATTAACCTAAATTAAACCCATGGATTAATGGTGAAGTTATTGTTTTACTAACTTTGTTATTTTTTAATTAAGGCATATCTTCCAAGTGAAACACCGGAGCTAATCAAAGAGTTAAGAGAAGAAGAGCTACAGAATCTAAGAGGTAATGAGAAAGAAGGAGAATTCAAAGAATGGGACAGAGTTTACGATTACGCTTATTACAACGACTTAGGTGCTCCTGACAAGGGTCCTGACTCAGCCCGTCCGGTTCTTGGCGGTTCACCTGAGCTGCCTTATCCTCGCCGTGGCAAAACCGGCCGTAAACCCACCAAAACCGGTTAGTCAACTTAACAATTCAAAATGATATACCACATTGCAAATCTTGATAGTTACTTGTTCTAAACGTCACCGTTTTTGGTCAGACCCTAAGTCCGAGAGTAGGCTGGCATTACTAAACTTGAACATATACGTGCCAAGGGACGAACGGTTTAGCCATGTAAAGTTCTCTGACTTTCTTGCTTACGCGCTCAAGTCGGTGACTCAAGTTCTTGTCCCTGAAATCGCCTCTGTTTGCGACAAGACCATCAACGAGTTTGACTCCTTCGAAGATGTTTTTCACCTCTATGACGGTAGTATTAAGCTCGCCAATGGTCACACCATTTCTAAGCTCCGTGATGTTATCCCATGGGAGATGTTTAGAGAGCTAGTTCGAAACGACGGAGAACGGTTCTTGAAGTTTCCCTTGCCTGACGTCCTCAAAGGTAACGTATAAACAGTTAGATATTTGATTTATACCTTTTTTTTTACATAGATTTTGACATAGATGATTGTATATTGTTACAGAGAGCAGATCGGCTTGGAGGACTGACGAAGAGTTTGCTCGAGAAATGCTGGCCGGCCTTAATCCAGTGGTGATTAGTCGTCTTCAGGTTTGATTTTCATCATATATATCACAAACTTTGTTCTTATGAATATTTGAAATTATCAAAATTTATGATTACAAATAATTTGAATATACAAAAAAAAATGCAGGAATTTCCGCCGAAGAGCAATCTAGACTCTGCAAAGTATGGAAACCAACACAGTTCCCTACGAGAAGAGCACATAGAACCAAATATGAACGGCCTCAATGTACAAGAAGTAAGTATACTATAGTTTCTTGTTTAACAAGTAACAGTTTCGCCAATTTCATATCTCCTGTAGTTAACTGCTATTGGTTTTGTTTTGTGTTTATATAAAAAAAGGCTTTGGAACAGAATAAGCTATACATACTGGATCATCACGACGCATTGATGCCTTATCTGACGCGGATAAACTCAACAAACACTAAAACCTATGCGACCCGAACCCTTCTGTTGCTTCAAGAAGACGGAACACTGAAGCCTCTCGCTATAGAGTTGAGTCTTCCACACGCACAAGGCGAATCACGTGGATCGGTGAGCAAAGTTTTCACACCAGCAGAGAAAGGCGTAGAGGGATCGGTTTGGCAGCTTGCTAAGGCTTATGCGGCGGTTAATGATTCCGGTTATCACCAGCTTATAAGCCATTGGTAAGAAATGGTGACATTGTGAAACATCTACCATCTAATTAAGGACCGAGACTTGATTTCGGTTTTAAGTAATCAGTTATTAATGTTTTGGTTTTTGAAGGTTGCAAACTCATGCAGTGATTGAACCGTTCATAATCGCGTCGAATAGGCAACTCAGCGTTGTCCATCCGATCCATAAACTTCTACATCCGCATTTCCGTGACACTATGAACATCAACGCATTGGCGCGACATATCCTCATAAACTCAGACGGAGTTCTGGAGAGAACAGTCTTCCCTAGTCGATACGCCATGGAAATGTCTTCTTCAATTTACAAGAATTGGGTTTTCACCGATCAAGCTCTCCCAAAAGATCTCCTTAAACGGTATATACCAAGTCTCTTGAGTCACAAGTAACATTGAATCTTGTTGAACAAGTAACCTTAAAATTCCATGGTTTTGCAGAGGAGTTGCCGTCGAAGATCCGAAGAGCGACCACGGTGTTAAACTATTGATCGAGGATTACCCGTTTGCGGTCGACGGTTTAGAGATTTGGTCAGCGATCAAAACGTGGGTCACAGAGTACTGCTCATTCTATTACAAGAATGACAAAACCGTCCAAACCGATATAGAGATCCAATCATGGTGGACCGAGCTCCGAACCAAAGGTCACGGCGACAAACAACACGAGTCATGGTGGCTTTCTATGCAAACCCGCGACGACCTCATCGAAACCTGCACGATCATCATCTGGATCGCCTCTGCTCTTCACGCAGCAGTCAATTTCGGACAGTACCCTTACGCCGGTTTCCTCCCTAACCGACCTACAGTCAGCCGCCGGTTTATGCCTGAACCAGGTACGGATGAGTACGCTGAGCTGGAGGAAGACGCTGACGTAGCCTTCTTGAAGACGATCACGCCACAGTTACAGACTCTGCTTGGTATCTCCATCATAGAGATCTTGTCTATGCATTCAACGGACGAGATCTACTTAGGGCAAAGAGATTCACCGAATTGGACGGCGGATGATGAGCCTTTGGAGGCTTTTAAACGGTTTGGGAAAGAGCTTGAGCTGATAGAGAACAATATCATACGGAGAAACAATGACAAGAGGTTCAAGAACCGGACCGGACCGGTTAACATACCGTACACTTTGTTGTACCCGAATACTACGGATTACACAAGAGAAGGTGGGCTTACTGGGAAAGGGATACCTAATAGTGTCTCAATCTAAAGATAATCTTCTTGATTATGTGATTATTATGTCTCTCTCTTTAAGTTATTTATTTTGTTTTTTTTTTTGTTTTGCGTGCTATATATTATTACTCTTATGTTATTATCCATTGTTCATATGATAAAGTGATTATATTTTTTCCTTGATTTTCCTTACTATTTTGGTAATTTTAAGAACATTTAGATAATTTTACTATTTTAAGAGCATATGTCAAACTCGTGTTCGGGTATTTTGATTCCAATTTAGAATCTTGTTGTATTTTTATTAGTTAGTTAATAATCTTGTTGTATTTTTTTTAATTTAACTATTTTTCTTACAAGATTACAATTTTTTTTTTTCAAAACTTTAGCCAAATTCAACTATTTCCATTCAAATTATAAACTAGGGAATATGCATAAAGTAACCATGAAACCAAAAAGATTTAACAAACTAACCTTAGGCTACAGTGCTTTGTCGGAGATGTAGATGCAATTACTGAAGTAACCTTTTTTCTTTTGTTTTTTTATCTCTCAATTCTTCTTCTCCAGATCTCTGTAGTTTCAACCAGCAGCATCTCAATTCTTTTTTTCCAGATCTCTGTAGTTTCAACGGGCAGCAACTCCGGTCCAATATCTTGTCAGAATTCTCGACAAAAAATTGATGGTTTTGTCAAGATTCCCAATCGATCTCTCTCCCCATTGTCCGGTTCTTCCTATTTCTCCAGAGCCTAGAGATCCTTCTCATATTTTCTCCTTTTCCTCATACCAGAATTATGGGCTAACCAGATTTCAGTTTCTCTTTAGAAACTCCACAGCCGCAGATTCATTTTTTTGTGTTTTTTTCCCGAACTTCATGTAATGTTTTCCGATGCAGCGGTATCTTTGTGTTCAACATGCTGTTTATTTTTTTGCCTTGTAAATTTCCAATATGTCATGCTTTTTTCTTTTTTGACATGCTATTCCTTTCAAAAACACATTAAATATTTACAAATTTCAAAGTTTTTTGTTCGGAGAATACGCTTTTTAGTTTGATTCATGCAATTTCTTAAAATCACCATGTAAATTTTCAATATGTCATGCTTTTTTTCTATCGACATGCTATATTTTTTAAAAACGCATTAAATATTTATAGATTTCAAGGTTTTTTGTTTGGAAGATACATTTTTTTTTTAATTTGATTCATGCAATTTCTTAAAACCACCATGATTTGTTTATCTTTTCCTTAATTTTCGCTTGTCGGATCTTCTCCATTATTATCTCCTCCATAACCACCTCTCTCACAGAAACCACCACCACCGTATCCACCTCACGACGACCACCGCCACGGGATCCATAATCTTCATTATGCCTTTTGCATCCCACCAACGTCATATGAGCCTCGCCGAACACCGGATCTAACGCCAAAACTATGGTATCGTTTCACGCTAGATCTCAAGCCAAAATCTTAATCGGAAAAATCTCGTCGATCATATCGTTGTAAATTTCATATTTGTTTAATAAATGGTTCATCTTGTAAAAGCTATGGTTTTGCAAGGTTAATTGGTCTTTTTTCTATCCCTACCCCACCACAAAAAGAGTTATTTTCCTAAGAAATCTGACACATGGTTATTTTGTTAATTCTTTCTCGGTCAAAGGCTACTTACTAATATTACCCTATAAACTATACCAACATATCAAATTCAACCATGACCATTTATGCATACTATTTATTATTTTTTGCATAGAATTCAAACACACATATAATTGAGTAAATTTTTTTTATGATTTAATCTTTAAATAAAGAATAATATTATACTAAATTATTAAAATAATATATTTTGAGAAACTTAGAACATTTCGACTGATAAAGATGCTAAACTAGTTAAATGGAAACAAACATTATTTTCATATATATTTTTTTATCTTACTACATTTTACCGAGATTATGCCAACTAACATATCAATTACATTGATTACTGTCACTGCAACCCGTTAACTGTTTTTTATTAGCATTAGGACCAATGGTTGACATAGTATAAACTTGATGGTTTATGCGAGGAAGACAATCACATTCAGCATGTGCTCTATCACCTGGGCAATGACAAAGTGGTGGTTCCGGTTGTGTTCTTTCTAGCGCTTCAGATTTCGATGAAAAACCTGCATGCGAAAGATTTAAATATTAAGTAATGTTGCAAAAGAAAAAAAAACGAGATATAAAAAAAAATGATATCTCGAATTCAAAGCTGTGGTGTGTATATATACGTACAAGATAAAACAATAAGAGCAAATACGAAGTGAATGATAAGTTTCGCCATAACGTTTGAGTTTAAGAGAGAATAAAGTTTTGTTTGGTATGAAATTGAATAAGTTGCTCACTTGCTCTATTTATATAAGAATTTTGTAAACTAGATAAGAACGTAACATATGAAAGAATTAATAATATGCAGATACTTCATTGACTTCATAAATCCATACAGATACTTCATTGACTTCATAAATCCATACGTTACATAAATTTTGGCTTTTATGATTTAATATGCAAAAATTTTGGCTATTTTTAAGGTATGAATTAGCCCAAAAATTTTTTTAGCTAATTAGCCCTAAATATAGTTAAAGTTTCTGCATATTACATAAATATCCGTCTTTATAGCATATTCATTGATTTTATGATACATATATTGTTTGGATATATATTGGTTCAGTGTCCGGTTAGATTAGAATGACATTACAAAATTTAATATGAATGGGTTCTAGTTAATTTCCGCAGAAGAACGTATTAAAAATGTTCCATAAATTGTTCAACGTCACGACCACGCTGTCTTAATTCTAACAATTGACTTCGAAACTTCGAATTCATACAAACGTCGCACGTGTGCATTTTTTTAGTTTTTGGTTTTTAAAGTTGAGATTTCTACATGAAGTTAATTAATGACCCTTGGGAGCAGAATTTGATCTCATAAATCGCTTCGTCAGTATCAACGTCAATAAAATGTAGAAACTATGTTTGTGTTGTACTGTTGTATTGTAGTTTTGTTATTCTTTTTAGTTTTTGGTCTTTTTCCGCTACTTGTATGTCTTTGTAACTTTTGTTTGCAAAAATGGTATAAATCTTTATATTGTTACCAAAAAAAAAATGTAGAAACTAGTACTAAAATGTAGTAGCTAAGTGAATTTTTCTCTCCATATATATAATTTGGTCGAATTTCATAAATCTATTTCTTAAGAAAATTAAAGAAACTCATTGGCTAAATAGCCTAATATCACCGTAATAGTCTAATAGACATGCAAGTCTAGAAAAAAGAGTATTTGGAACAGATTAATGTGATTATCTCTAGTTATATGTATGTACTCGTTCCTCAAATCTCGTCTTTTTAAATCAGAACCGTTGAGATAAAGACACGTGGCGAGATCTCCTGTGTGAAGACACGACTGACACAAATCCACGTGGACCACGCAGCTTCGACCTATATGCAGTCTCATCGTACGGTCTCCGGTAAAACTTCAGATACGGTACAAACGCTTCACGTGACTTCTCGCCTCCTCCACCGACATTATTCTCCCTGCGAAAGAACATCGCCGGCGACTGAAAGAATGACGGACGTGGAGTTTTTCGGTACGAAACCGACTTTGTCTTCTCCGGCAACGGCGTCGATGGGAAGAGACTCTTTCTGCATGCAGCTGGTTTCGCGTCTTTGAAACCACGCGCCGCCGGAGACGCGAAAGATAGTGACCGTGCGCTGAGAGGAGAAACTTGAGCGGCGGGGTTATAAGGTGACGTGTCGGTGAAGGAAAGATACCACGGCTTTAAGGAGTTTTGAGAGACGGTGAAAGCGAATCTTGAAGAAGCTGAACCAATCGTGGCCGTTGATTTAATCGACGATGCGTCGAATCTTAAAGATGCTGATCGAGGATTTGACGACACGTGGCTGATATCTAGCGGTTCGTCGTAGTCTAGAGACGACACTATCATCGTGACCGTTGAGAGTTCCACAAAAGGACGAACACCCTGACAAATTGGTACGAACAAAAACGTACTTTTGAGCTTATCCATATCTAATCACGATTAGAGAGTTAATTATTCGAATTTAATGTGTTTAGGTTTATAGAAATTTTACCTTCCAAAGGTAAGAGAAAAAAGAGGGAGGGTCGATGATAAAGGCTTTGTAAAGTCGGTATGGATAATAATCTGCGATGATTTTTAGGGTCGCCAAAAGCAAATTCGCAAATGCAGAGGATGATCTGAAAAAGCCTGTTTTTTTTTTATGTTATTAAGAAAAAGGAAAAAGAATATTAAACGAAAATATAAAGAATATTAAGAAAAAGAAAATTGTCTAATATATTTTGTACAGCTAAGTGTGAGACTAATAATTAATTGTCTAATCAGGTTTGAACAAAAATATAAAGATGTGTATTTTTGCAGAGAATAATTGTACTTCATTTTTATTCAAAAGAATGAAATTCGAAAAGGTGGATTTAAAAAATAAACTTTTTGTGCAGAAAGAAATAAAAGCATAAATCTTTAATAGCGTGATACTAAACTAAGGTAATTGATCTTTTGCATTGTAAAAATATAGGTATTTGTAAACTAAGGTATACATTAATTTTTTTAAAAAGTACACCAACCATCAAATAATATATTGTAATCAGATAAACTTTTTTCAAATTTGAAAGTATTATTTTTAGTTCCAAATAAATAATTTGTAGTGTGAAAAATCCTATAAATTTAGATAAGGAGTTAACAATAAAATTGGCTTGGTTAATTATTCAAAAACTAAAATAGAAAAAGATTTACCAAAAAGTTATTTTATGTTGAAACGAAAAAATTGCAAAAAACTTTTCAAGGAAATTACTAATTAGCCGTAATTACCAGACGCTTTTAGTGGATAATTATCAAAAGAATTGACGTTGACACATAAGGGGAGACAAATCGGACATCAAATAAATGCATATGCATGTCCGAGTGTTTCCGGTCCACGACAAGACTCAAATCCAAAATAAGAAAACCAATAACCAAACAAAACCCAAAATACGACAATAAATTACGGATTAGTACATAGAAATTTGGAAGCTTACTAGGGATTAAAGAGTAATTTCGAAATAACTTACTTGCATCGAAGAGAAGAACAAAGCTCTGTTCCGCGTTTCTGGACATGCTTGAAATCGCAGTCTCAATCGTGAACGC